TTGCTGCAGGCTGCAAACTGTTGAGGAATCGCTTTGAGAGCAAAGACCGGGAGTGGGCGTCCTACACCTGCGTGCTCGGCTTCCACGTCATGGGTGAGGAAACAAAACAAAACTCAAAACAAAACAAAACAACCAAAAAAAAACACGATTGATTTTGTAAATGGTCAAATAAGTGCACCCTATTCGCGCTTTGGTGTTTGTGAAGGGCAACGAAATAAAATTAGATGTTTGTTGCCGTTTTCCTGACAAAATGTTGCTTTACTGCCATCTTGAGGTAACTTAATGTCAAGGAACTAAGTTATAGTCAGTTGTGAAGTTTCATTTCCTCAAAAATAATACTTTGTTGCCATCTTGTGCCACCTACGGTTCATCGTAATCGGTTTCGGGGTGGATCTGTTTTCACCCTTCGCTACAAGACTTTTATTTAATCGACCACTATTACCCATTTTAAAATATTTGATGATTGTTTTTTTGTAAGCGCTAAACACATTACAACATAAGACAAAAAACTTGACATTCAAACATCTTCTCCCCCATAAAAAAGACCCCCCAACCAAAAAAAAAAAAATCTTCAATTTTTTTTGTTTTACTAAAGTTAAACAGCTACTAAAGGACAACGTCATGTAAAACGGTCAGTTGTTGTGCCTTTAATCCAAATCTTTATTGTTGTAAGCATTATTGGACCGAAACAGAACTTATTTTCTTCATTGTCTACATGAGGGCTGCACCGAAAGATCATTTTAACGATCAATGGGTTATTTTGTCGGTTAATTGATGAAAAAAAAAGCAGGTTGTAATTTCGATGCCTTTAAAAACATGACATGATTTCAAATTAGCAGTGCAGAAAATGAACAAACCAAAATGAATTAAGAGTCAGTTACTGGTTTTGTCTGTATATGTCAGCAAAGAGTGTTGCTATTTGCGTTCCAAAGTAAAAGTAAATGGTTTTGTAGCTTCACCACAAAGTTACGTAATCAGACTGCTATTATGGAAGACAGCAGATATCCGAGAGTATTTACTCTTTTGAAACTGGAATTTCAAAGGGTTGTATCAATTTAAATAAATAAAGATATCTAAACGATTTTCTGATGATCAAAAATAAAAACGTGATCATCAAGTATTTGTCAATTAGTCATTGCGCCTCTCATATCTATTTTCGCTGGATTCATCTGTTCTCTGATTTTTATGCTGCCATAGGCCTCCCCAAAAAAATCAATCTCGGTTGAGACCTAATTTCGGTATTTTCACCAGGCGTGTGGCTGGAGGGCTCGGACGGCACGGACATCAACGCGCTGTGTCGCTCCCACAGCGAGAGCATGGTGGCTGTGGCGGACGACTTCTGCAAAGTCCATCTCTTCCAGTACCCGTGTCCCAAACTCAAGGTACGGCGCCACACTCTGTTTTGACGGAGCAAATATTATTCTACCACACCTCCAAACGTCTGAGGCAAAACCTGTTTTGGAATTTACATAAGTGCGTGAGAGCAGGACTAACTTCACTTCATTGCTGCTTTCAGTTCGGACCCCCCCCCCCCGCCCTCCCACTTTTTTTTCATTTGTGACTAAATGACTGGATTAAATTTGAGAGCTGCACTTGCTGGAAAAATATGCAACGCCTTCTGTACCTGGGTTAGTGGTTGTGTTTTTTTTTCTTTTTTTTACATTAATTGTATTTTTTTTTTTTTTTCTGGCCCCAGGCGCCGAGCCACAAGTACGAGGGCCACGGCAGCCACGTCACCAACGTGCGCTTCACCCACAGCGACTCCCACCTGCTCTCCATGGGCGGCAAGGACACGTGCATCCTCCAGTGGCGGGTGCTCCGAGGTGGCACCGGCAACTCTCCGGAACCCGTTCTCGCCAGCCAGTAGATGGCGACGACAAAAATAAATAAATAAATAGATGTCGACATAAAACATGGACAGATGACAGACTTTCTGGGACGACATTGGAGTTTGTCTTCCAGGTGCAAAAATGTGACTTTGTTGCTGTGATATTCAGAGAACATTCCGGTGTTTACTGTCGTTGTTCTTTTTTTTTTTGTTGTTTTTTGTGCTGTATGACACTGAAAATAGCCTCGAAAGACCATGGTACCTTGACTTACAAATTCACTCTATTTTGTGACCAACCTTCAATTCACAGCAAATCAGTTTACCCCATTGAAATGTAGTGAAATGCCAATAATCTGTTCCAGCAAAAAAAAAAAAAAAAACAGCACTGTGTTGTCAAATACAAATACAGTAGTGTGATTAAGTCCGATAGATCGGTATAAAATTTTAGGAGGCCAATGCCTGATTCAGATATTTGGCAGAATAAAATTCAGATAACCGATTAATTGGTCAATGATTTAAATAAATATTTAATGAGTAAAATAACTCAGATATTTTACTTTGGACTTTGGTATTTGTTTACACTTACAAAAGGGAGAAAAATCTGCTGTTTCTTGTTTGTTTGTCTGTTTGGTTTTTTTTTTTGGGGGGGTGGACATCAGTATGTTTGTCTTATGTTGTAATGTGTTAAATTGTAAAAAAAAAAAGGACCAATTGTGAAAGAGCTAATATTAATCACTCGTTTGTGCCCTACCTGTGAGTGCTTTCATTTTAATATGTGTGTTTGACAGTTCGTCCTGTTCTGTAGACAAACGAAAATTGCATCAGCAACTGATTTTTTTTTTTTTTTTTTAACTCAGAAGTTGAGGCACTTGAATTTCAAGGTACCACTGTATTTGGAAACATTCCTCTACCTGCTTTGTACCAGCGGCTCTCAAACTGGGGGATGGGAGCATGAACCACGGCTTGAGGGTCCGCTAAATATTTGACAATAACTTTAACTTGTATCCTTGAAAAAAAAAAGCCAACACGCCAATAAATCACAGTAAACCAATTACTCCTTAAGAACATAAGATATTGTTGCAGGAATTAAGTCCTGATTTTTTTTTTTTTTTTAGAATATAAAGTACATTATAACAGGAATTTTTTTTGCAACTTTCAACTTGAATTGCCTCAGGACATCACTTGCATGATTGGTTTGGCACGATATTACGGGAGTAATTTTTTTTTTTTAGAATAAAGCTGTCTTTTTTTAATAATAAAAAGCATAATATTAAGAGAATTAAGTTTTTATACAGTATACCGCTACTCTCATTAATATATGACTTGCTTCCCCTGTTAAACTTTGCCCTGAGTATATTTCAACTATATCCTGGGAAAAGACTGTATTCACATAACATTTCACATTTTTTCAAAAAAATAAGATGAATATGTTATCACAGCATTATATTTTTTTCCTAAAAAAATAAGCATCATTCAATTTTTTTTTTTTACCCCTAAAAAGTCTCTGGACCCCAAAGGTTTGGGAAGGCGTGCTTTAAACAATATACTTCATATTTGTGTCGGCAAAGCCTGCGATTGGCTGGCAACCAGTTGAGAGTGTACCCCGCCTGCGGCCCGAAGCCAGCTGGGATAGGCTCCAGTACGCCCACGACCCTCATGAGGAGAAGCAATTCAGACAATGGTTGGATGGCTAACGAGGAAACTGCCGTTAACACACTGACAAAACCTGTTTCCAGGAAGTCTACCAACATTACCTTCGAATGGCTCGTCATGCATTTGTGTATACTCCCCCCACCCCCAACAACAAAATAATACTAATACAATGAAGGAAGTGGCTTTTCTCTCCTGCTTTTGTCTTCATTCGGTTCTTTGGTGAACCAAAGCCTAACCCAGGTGGCTGACTTCATGCGAGCGGACCGGTACACCTTGGACTGTTCGCCAATCAATCACAAAGGACATACAGACAAATAACCGCCCACACACACATTTACACGTATGGAAAATCAGAGCCTTCAATGAACCGAATGTTTTTGAAATGTGGGAGGAGTAAAGCCACTCAAGCACAACGACAACATTAAAAAAATCTCCCACACCGAGATTAGAATGTGCCGCCGACTGTCTCTAGGGGGCGGTGTTGCTCTGCAAGTTTTGGCGTGTTTGTCAACTTTCGGACATTTTTGTTTTTAAACCTTTTAAGCATTTTTCATTTAACTTGCTCGTGGCCATTTTCCCCACATACAGACATAGGAGGTAATTTTTGAGATCGTCATTTTAGGAAAATGTATATCTCAGTCCAAAATCTTAAATTGGTACTGAGTAATTACTGTCACGATATAAAAAAAAACAATGCGCTTTCTAATGCTCTGCTTTTTTTTTCCGAAAATTATTAATTGAATGAGATTAAAAATAGTCGAAAAGATTTTTAAAAACTACCCATTTAAGTGTGTGTATTCGAGACTGAAGTGACTGACAGTATTTACAGAATTTTTTCAAACGTATTTATCACGGGTCTGAATTGACTAAAGGTTATTGACTAAAGAAATTAGTGAAATTGAGTATTATAGCTTTCTGGTCGGTAGTTCAAGGACGGCAGCAGTCGCTGAGGCTCTTGAATCTTGATTACCCCTAACGATGACAGCTATGATGCGCATTCATTCAAGACCTGCAATCGGCCACAAGTCATACCCAATCACTCCACACTAACTCCTCACTTGAGCCAACTATTACGCTATCGTGATTAAATGTCCATCCTTCCCTTTCGTCATTTAAAAAAAATCTCGTTCAACATCCAAACCATCTCAATCCAACTCACAACGAAGCAAATACAGTAAAGTGCAACAAATATTTGCAAGATACAAAGCATGTTGTAATTGGAAATTACAAGTTCAATGAAAATCCACAGACAATATGTGGGTGGGGGGGGGACGACGCGAGGTGGAGCGCAAATGACCAACATGTTTTGGGTTACATGTTTTCTGTACACATTTTTGCGTTTTTATTTTCTATTTATGTCAAGTGTTAAAAACAGTTTGCTTTAAAACACGCTTTCTATTTAATTTCTCGTTGCCGGGGTACTCTTTCCGAGTGTCAAAACTGCCCCTCGGGGGTGACGTTTCCGGGGTTTGCCGAACGTTTCCGAAGCTGACGATGAGTGTGTGCGTGTGTGTGTAGAACCGTGCGGAGGTGAAGAAGAAGAAGACCACGACGAAGAAGAAAAAGAAGAGGAGGGTGAATCTACATTCAGCAGAGGATGGGAGGAAGAGTGGAGGAAGAGACGTGTGAATGAGTGAGTGTGTGAGGAGGAGGAGGCGGTGGAGGAGAAGAAGAAGATTGTCGTGAGGGAGCGAATTCAAGACCAATGTTTTGGAGGAGCGTTTCGTGACGGAAACTTTCAACTTTTTTTTAACCGCCACTCACTCGGCTTGTGCCTCAGAGCCGGCCGGCTTTGTCTGCCGTCGCGGGCGTCTATAAATGGACTAAAAACAGAGCCCCGTGGTCATCCGCTTCACGTTAACCTGGCGCTCATTACTAAAGAATGGCGGCCAACATGTATCGAGTGGGAGGTAAGTTGTCTTATTTTCCTTTTTTTAACACCCCCCCTCGACCCCCTCCCTCATGCGTGGTTGTTCCTTCGGGCTGCACGTTAGCTTAGCCACACGCTAGCTGTCTATGAGGTAGCCGCTAATCCCAGCTCGCTCTTGCTAGGCTAAGGGTGCATAGTGCATACGTCTACTTTTCAGTTCCAGTCAACTACTCAAGTCACGCAGCAGGAGTGAAAACCTCGCTTTTGTGTTACAATTTCCACCCGAGGGTCCAGTTTTACGCCTCTAAAGTGCGCGTAAGTGTTGCAAAAGGTCAACTTTCAAATTCGATTCGTTGCCGTCCAATAAAGTTATCGGGAGTCAACCGACCCATATCCATCGATTTATAACATGATATTTGGCATACGACCACAACTGTTTGTGCCCCCTTTTCTATTTAGTGGCAACATCTGTGCTGAAGTGGACTCTTTACACATGATGCTAGTTAGCATTAGCTTCGCGTTGAGAATACCCGGTCGGGTAAAAACAGACGCGGGTTAGTTTTTGGCACTGAGTTTACCGTTCACATGACTGTCATTTTTCTTGACGGAAAAAAAGTGAAAAGTTGGAGTCCGTGCGTAATTGATGCTACCATGTAAAGAGATTTTATCCTAACTCATCTGTATTCACACAACACTTTAAAACAACCCCTGCTGTATACAAAGTGCTGTACATGGAGCAAAATCCTTCCCCAACAAACGATGCAACAATAAATCGATAACGAAGACAGTAAAAAGCATAAAAATTAAAATCAAGTCTCATGCAGAGTCAAACGCCAAGGAATAAAAATGACTTCTAAAACAAGTTTTAAAGATGGGCAGTGAGGGGGCTTGCCTCAGGTTCAGCGGGGAGAGTGTCCAGTAACGGAGAGTGTCCAGCAACGGAAAAGGCTCGATCCCTTCGGAGCCTCCGCTCAGTGCTCGGTGCCTCGGCCCTCTTCCGATTGGCAAGCTGTGGGAAATTCCCTCAAAAGCTGGAGATGGATCCTTCGTCAAAGGAGCCACGAAGGGCAGTAATGCTTTGGCAAAGCACAACTTTTGTCAAAATGAAACTCCTCAACAGCATCAACATAGTTCATTGGAACCAAGGCGACATTGTAAATGCTGAACTATGCTGCATTGTGGACTAGTGGTTATCATATCCACCCCACGGTTAGTCACAATTAGTCACCAGTAGCTTTTTTTTGTGGGTGGGGAATAAATAATCTTTAGAGAGGTGGCTAAATAGCGTCCTCAAAAATAATTGCCCAGCCGTAATTAGAAGATAAGAAGATAAAAAAAAAAACTTTATTTGTCTCACAATGGAGAAATTCCCATCATAGAATCCGTACACGACTATTTTGGATTAATTCGCTTCTAAACTGCTGAGGGGAAATGCAATAAATGACCTTGATGTTAATTGGATCAACGTTTTACACTGCAAAAAGTACCCTTCAAAAAATAAAGGAAGGAAATGAGGAATGTATTTCTCGAAAAACTACCTGCTAATAGAGCAGGCAAGATTCTTAAAAGTGAGTAAAATTAGGTAAAACTAGTGTATGAAATTACACCCTTAAAATTATGACATGTCTTATTTTAAGATACACGTATTTTACTTGACGAGTAAATAAAATCACAGTAACAACTTATCGTACCTCTAGGCATGGGGCGATATAGATTCTGACACTTGAGTAACTTCCGATTGGCAAGCTGTGGGAAATTCCCTCAAAAGCTGGAGATGGATCCTTCGTCAAAGGAGCCACGAAGGGCAGTAATGCTTTGGCAAAGCACAACTTTTGTCAAAATGAAACTCCTCAACAGCATCAACATAGTTCATTGGAACCAAGGCGACATTGTAAATGCTGAACTATGCTGCATTGTGGACTAGTGGTTATCATATCCACCCCACGGTTAGTCACAATTAGTCACCAGTAGCTTTTTTTTGTGGGTGGGGAATAAATAATCTTTAGAGAGGTGGCTAAATAGCGTCCTCAAAAATAATTGCCCAGCCGTAATTAGAAGATAAGAAGATAAAAAAAAAAACTTTATTTGTCTCACAATGGAGAAATTCCCATCATAGAATCCGTACACGACTATTTTGGATTAATTCGCTTCTAAACTGCTGAGGGGAAATGCAATAAATGACCTTGATGTTAATTGGATCAACGTTTTACACTGCAAAAAGTACCCTTCAAAAAATAAAGGAAGGAAATGAGGAATGTATTTCTCGAAAAACTACCTGCTAATAGAGCAGGCAAGATTCTTAAAAGTGAGTAAAATTAGGTAAAACTAGTGTATGAAATTACACCCTTAAAATTATGACATGTCTTATTTTAAGATACACGTATTTTACTTGACGAGTAAATAAAATCACAGTAACAACTTATCGTACCTCTAGGCATGGGGCGATATAGATTCTGACACTTGAGTAACCATGAGCAAAAATATCACGCTATTAAAATTACAGCTCTGAAATGTCCTTTTTAGAAACATTTGGGAAAATAAAAATATCTTGTTCTCCATTGACCACATCCATTTGAGTTTTCAACAACACAGAGTAGGAAATGTGTACCGTGCTAAGTTTAAATGATTGTTGTTGATTGATGTTTAATTCGTCCAACCACGTCCCTTAACTGGTGAGCTATTTTTAGAACTGCTGCATGGACTACTCATGTTGTCCTTGGGGCTAACTAGTACCCCCCCCCACCCCCCTTATTTATTCATTTATGTATTTATTGTTTTCGGCAATGCACATTTCTCAACAGAGCAAAGTGGGATCCATGTTTGCAGTGTCTCTTTTGTCTTGCTCCCTCCCTCCTCCTCAGCGCCGAACTACTCACCCCTCCCTTCTCTGTTAATAAAAACGGCAAAAAAAAAAGTGACTGGCCCCAATTTACTTCAAAGAGGCTGTTTACTTAACTTTGCAAGTTGCCAATTGTATCAGGGCTTATTGAAGCATTGACTTTATAAAACCACAGGAAACCGTCAAACCAGTGCTCGGGCCCATGACTAAGTACATCTAAGATTATAAAAGAAAAATGCTTGAAGCAAGTCAAATGCTCGTCAACAAAAACTGCCTGCTAAGAAGAAATATCTTGGCGGAGTAAGAACAATCATCTTTCTGTCCTGATTCGAGATGTTTTCATCTTGATGAGTTTTTAGATTATTAGGACCAGGCTTACATGGATTCTTTGAGGCCGATCCCACTTCCAATAGATGGCAGAATAAAATTCTGATAACCGATCAATCGCCTGATTAATTAAGAAAATATGTCATGCCGAAAATATTTTTCTTTTTCACTCCCTTTACGCAAACAACAATAAAGGTCAAGTACATTTGACTGAGAATAATTTGTCCTTTAGCCTTAAGTAAATTTTCTACAAAGGAAAAAGTAGCAAAAAATGGCGCTTTTTTTTTTTTAATGGGGGGGGCCACAAAGGAAAAAGTAGCAAAAAATGGCGCCTTTTTTTTTTTTTTAATGGGGGGGGGGGGTGTTTGACTGTCATCATCGATGAACCTTACAGTCACAAGCCTGTATGTATGTATTTATTTATGGGAGTCCTTGCTTGTCATTGAGGCGCAATATATGAGGAACTTTTCTCTGCTTAGCGTTTTGTAAGTGTCTATTTGGTATTCCAGTTTGCCTTTTGTAGGTATGACAACCACGTGCAAATTAGTGTGTGTGCCGTCTGGGTTTCTCAGAATGGTGGGGGTGGGGGCATAATTTTCCCGCCGCTTCAGACGTCTCAGCACAACACCAATCTCAATAAAACTGCCCTTGGCATTATGCAAACACAACGTGACCGTGTTGGAAAGCGTCCCACGTCCCCACCTGGTTTGTGGCGCTGTTGAATTTTGTCGCCGTTCGCGCGGAGGCTTGCCAGCTCGCCATGGCAACGTCGGCGATGTGATTCTTCCAACACCCGCCGATTTCACTTCTTGGTGGCTTTTTCTCCTTCCAGATTATGTGTACTTCGAGAACTCCTCCAGCAACCCGTACCTGATCCGCAGGATAGAAGAGCTCAACAAGGTGCGGCGTTCTCTCCCCCCCTATCCCGGTTTGACCTCACGGCGACGCGGCCCGCTTTCGTGTGTGCCGTAGTGACCCGGCACTGGCACAGGAGCTTCCTTATGTAACACCTCAGCGGCGGCGGCGGCAGATTTTTAGCCAGTCAAAGATGAAGGCGCATCCTTTATGTAACATTCTTACACTGGAGTGCCAATGGAGGCTTTTTGCGTGGCCAGAGTGCAATATTGGCGGCAGACTCACGCAAACCAGGGCACGCGTTTTACACACCACCAAACAAAACTCACAAAATGTATAAACAGTGAAATAATAACAACGTCAATTCACTCCGAAATGGACACGGTGTCAAATGTGGACCTGTTTTGCGATTCTGTTGTATGAATGGCACCATCTGGAGGCGCAGGTTAATTCTTATTTTTGTCATCTAGTGGAAGAACATTGAAGACTCACATGTTGTTGGCATAAATAGATGAACAAAGACCCGTGGTTTGTTTCAGACTTCTGTAATTTTTGCCATCAACACAGGTTATATGTTGCATTTTTTTAACGATTGAAAATAAGGACTCGGAGAAAAGTGGTTGAATGTTATTTGAAAATATACGTAATAGTTCATCTTTAATAAGATGTCAACGCAGCTATGAAAAAGTCAAACTTGTCAATATTCGGATTCAATAAACACCTTTTTAAGTCAACGCACCTATGAAAAAGTCAAATACACTTGTCAATATTCGGATTCAATAAACACCTTTTTAATCATAATGTGTTCAATAGGGCTGGCTGTCATGGCTGAAAAAGATTTCGCAATATTATCGGTATTAGTCTATGTCATAGATATTTCATATCAGTTACGAATTATTGCTTTTCTTTAACCTGTTAAAAAAACATTCGCAGTTTGTGTGTACATTGTAATGTGCAAAGTTGCTCCTCCACCAGCGCGTTGTACTTTAAATTCTTTTGCGTTCGATGCCAATCCAAAGCAGTCCTGTTGATTCTTACGTTAACCTGCATTCAAAGTTCGTAAAGTACTTACATTATGTGTTTTTATTTGAACTTTTATTTATCCAGTTAAGGCAATTGAGGACAGATTCTCATGAGACCTTGTAACAGAGACAAAGTAAAATAAAAGCAAACTGCATTGTGATATTCTGAAGACTGCCGATTAAAACAAAGTAAAATAAAAGCAAACTGCATTGTGATATTGTGATTGTAATTTATGTCATATAGTTCATGTGTACACTGTACCTTACATTATATCTAATTTTGAATAAATTCTCTTATCGACATGGATCGCTTTAATACACTCCCATGACGTCAATTACTACTTTCTGATTGGCCACGGCTTTTGAGACAACAAAACATAAATATACATATATTATTGAAATTAGTTTAGAGGTGGCTTTCTGAAAAGAATGTTCCCATGTGTTTGAGTCCACTGAAAATAAAATATTTTTGTGTGATGGCTGAGAGACAATTTTTTTTGTTTGTTTGTGTGTGTGTGTGTGTTTTGTGCAGACAGCCAATGGCAACGTGGAGGCCAAGGTGGTGTGTCTCTTCAGGAGACGAGACATCTCGGGGAACCTCAATACTCTCGCCGACAGCAACGCAAGTAAGTGACACCCGTCACTACTAAGACCAGCGCTTGGGTACTAAGACCGAATATAGATTTATAACAGCCCATATTAAAAGTTAAAACTCTAATTATACCACAAATGGTGATGCCGGAACACTTGACACACCGGAGTGTGTGTGCAGCCAGTAAAAGAAACAATTACTGCTTTCCTACCACCATTTTGATTACACTTTTGACTGTGATACATCAATGTCTCTCCAAGGCTCTTCATGTCCCCAAAAGTCCCGCCATGTCTCGTCATGTCCCCCAAAGTCCCGACAAGTCTCTTCAACTGTCACGTCCCAGCAAGTCCCGAAAAGTCTCATCATGTCCCGAGCCTCTCATGTCTTTAAAGCAGCAATGTGGCAGGATTTCCAATAAAATGTCAGTCTGTGAAAGTGCAGAGTGTGGTTGGAAGGTCCACTTCAACCTGACTACCGCACACCAATAATTCTGATCATGGCATCTGGAGAAATTGAACTTGTGTGTTGGAAGAAGTGGCCTTTTTGGGGAAGGTTTTATGTGACATTGCTGATAAATCTGGTCCACAAATGTCTTCGAAATAGAGTACAACAATGTAACGCTCTCATTTCTCAGCATACGTCCTTGAGCCTTTGGCTTGATCTGTTTCTTGGGGAAGTGCTTCTTTTGTCTTGCCAGGCTGGGTGCCGCTTATGACATAGCCCACCGGAGTCCGATCCCATTCATATATGAGCTAACCCTCCGAGTCCCCCCCACCACCCGGCCCTCCGCACCCCCCTCTCCTGGATGCGCTGCCTCAGACAAAGACATGCCCACCTCCTCCAAAATAGAGGCGCTGCAGTTCGCTCGCCATACTGTTCATCGGTCACATGAGGACACTGTCGACACGATCGGTCTGAAAATTCCAAATTTGGATACTCGTTGGCTTCCGTCATGCCAGTCAGGGTTCTCACCCATAAGATATAATCATACTACTCTTGCCGATGTGCGCTCCCCCC